GCTCCGTCCCAGTTTTCATTTAAAGTAAATTAAAAGATTTGACCTCYCGAATTTTATCATTATCAAAATATGCGCTGGAGTAGGATTTCACAAGAAGCGTGTTTACAAGACATAGTTCACCCATATGGAATTGGATTGATCAGCTGTACTGGAACTCGCTTAGCACACAGCTCTTGCTGTGCAATAACGGGTGGGCTAGAACCTTAGTTAACCCTGAAATTATCGTAATACTAACTCCAATCTAATGTTCTCAGCGTCATTTTGAAGGATCGCCAAGCCTTTGCATTAAAGCTAGAACCTGCAGTGATAAATGTTCTTTATTAAGACCGCGGAAGACAATTATTCTCAGAAATCTCTCATTACAAGACCTAACCGCTTGCAAAGGGCGGAAGCCTTTTAAAATAGTGCTTGAAAATATAGAATGGAGTATTGCCTTTTTCCCAGTTTGTTCATGGTACTAACGTATGTCGGTTTTCAGGGGTAGGCCCCTATGCTGAGATAAGTAGTATGTCGAAAGTCTCAATGATGAGATAAAAACTCTGCTTTGAAGATGTAACCTTTTCGCCTGACCACTGACCAGGCAAGGATTACTCATGAGTGCGCTGATGAACAACAGCAGGCCTAAATGGGCGGATACAATTATCTGGAAATTGATCTATCCGCTGGATATCGCTAAGTCACCCCGTGGGCTCCCGTAATTCAACCTGCGCAGAACCGACTCCAGGATTTTGGCGAGCACTACGCCGCCATCCTAGGGAGCTAACAGCAATCTTAAAGTGCTACTTGCATGAATATGCCCTCATCTAAAAACTTMAAGCAATACAATTATATGACTCATTTATATCTATTAAAAACAATTGCGGGAAAATATTTGTTTTGGAATATCCCACATCAGAGAAATTTTGATTCAAAAGATGGAAGAACAAAAGGATGGAGTAAATGACGTCATCTACCCCAACATTTTTTACCCAAATTATTAAGGATTTGTATCAATATCTTCTTGAAATCTGTTGCTTCATGATTATTAGACMCATATGGATAGGTCTATTTGATTTCCAAGTCTCTTCTAATGTTTCGCAATTTTCGTCCAAGTAGCCCTTTAACAGTGGCACCCACACCTTGGTCTTTGGGGAGSGTACGGCGTGGTTTTCGCCGGAATATGTTATCAGATCTGGTCGGCAAGATGGTCATTCAACGTGTTGACGACTTACGTGACCCCAAATTTACAGCTTATTAATTGGCAACTTTACAAACTTTGCTAGGATTTGCAAAAGAAACCTTTGACCACACTGCCTGGGGGTATCTTCCCCTTTGTGGTTAGCAACTGTTTTCCACATTTAGCACCCAAAATACAAAAAATCATTAAAADATACATAGACAAAATGATCAAAATGTTTTCTTTGTGGTACGGTTTGTCATGTACAATATCAGAGACAGAATATCGTCGATCTTTCATTCAGTGCTGTTTTAGTCATTTATTCGAGTTACCGATCATCGCTTCGAGAGAGCTGTTTACTTGGGAAATACTCTTGTCTCTTACCAATTGTCTTACGCGCTCTTATGAAAGTAGAAAAGGGTCACGGTGCGTTTTCAAGCCGTTTTCGTAAATTTTCTATTTCCTTCGTGAAGACGCAAGAAAATACATTTACTGCGAGTTCGCAATCTCCGGCTTGGCACCTCAGGAGTCTCCAATTCAATTCACTTGTTTTTGCCTATATTATTCGTAATCTTAGATTAGTTAGTTAAAATCATAGCTTGTAGCTATACTAGAGACTTCCAAGGGGTGAGCGTGCTGATCAGAGGAAGTCTCAACAATGAATGCTTCGAGGGCAATACAGGAAATCCAAATTTTAGCACATCTTGAGTTTTTAGTGTCCCTGCGTAAACTGTGAGGTGAACGTCAATTAYTCTTCCGGAAGCATAATGAGACTGATTTGATCCACGATTTTACGAGGAATGCAATTAGCATCCGTTTTCTTTTATWGCGGTTTCCGAAMCGTTACCAGGGAGATCCATGATGCAAACAAGAGMTTTCATRTGTTCTCAACAATGGCGGTAGCCGTTTTGAACTTAAAAAAGGCCAAAATATATATTGCCCAGGAATGTCCATCTTAATTGAAATCGTCTCGCAAACAATTCATGAACCTTTATCGCTCTGATATGAAACWATAACCTTGGTCTTGCATCAACCGCTTTGCGGCTTAATCAATAATGTCGGTAATCACGTAAGTCCAATTTGCTTATCTTACTCTGGATAATCCGATTCCATTTGTCTTAACTTCATCATGATCTCCTGGGATGAACAATAGCAAAGACATGCATGCATTTAAAATTTTGGTCATTAACAWGATTGATTTGYGAAGCTTCAAGASMGATTAATCTATCCCCTGTCTACCCTGCACGAGGAAACAGCGATCTTGAGAGTGCTGCGCYGAGTACATATTGGATGTAGTTCTTGCTGATAAAATCATCTCTGATATGGTTAATAAAGAAAGATTTTACCAAATATAAATCAAATATGCTTTCATATGGCGGCACAACACTCCGCAACATTACACATTTAAAGGGTGACCTTCGAAGGAAAACGGACCTTGCTTTCAACAAAATAAGCAAAATACATTGTTTACTGGCGAGTGTCCAGACTAAAAATATAAATCAATTCGTCAGTCGAAATGTCAGATGTCATGTTGTTGTAGAAAAGCTAGTGTACTAAATTAGTGCGATCAAAGATTCGTGAATGTTTTACCACGTGGTGATTTAACTTTTCGCGCCARTTTYATTAAAAAGTGTGTCAAAAAGAAACTTTTTGTTTGTCAACGGTTGAYATGATTCGTCAAAATAAAACTTTTATCAAATTGATAATAATAATTGATAAAAAAGCAAGGAAAACTTGGRTGGATTTGATTTCATTAGTACCAAGTAAATATTTCAGATAAAAGATAATATTTGTACGTGTAATGAGTAATGTTGTATATATTGTACAATTATCATATACACTTATGGCTGTTGCATATAAGGTACTGAAACCAATATCTTTTAGATTTGAAACCTTCAATGCTTTTACAGACATACTAAGTTATTTTAATTCAGACATTCAGATAACGCAAGTAACAATCACCTCTTAAATCTGTATCATTTTCAAACAATCCTTATCTTATCCAAATATCTTGAAACCAGACCAAAAATATTATCTCCAAACACAGAATATGGACTGTTATTCCAAAGGAGTCGTAATAATACAACTAAGCGCTGATTTGTTTTAACTAAGGTGGCAACAATTATGCTTCAGTTCTCTTGAAGTGCTTAACAGCACGTTGGCAGTCGTAATCCTGTCATTATGTGACCATTTTGTTTGCTCAACCAAACCAAGAATCATCAAAAAATGAATATATAAACTTCATTTGCTGTGCTTTGTYGATGACAAACAACAGYTCATGAGTTAAATTAGTGCATTAACAATAACCTGGACAAACGGAATTGCTTAATTTTGGTCGGTAATCCATTAATTCAATGGCCGCRTGTAACACTACTATACTACTCCATCAATATAGCGAAATGTCTCTTTCAGCAGTTATGAATACAGTTCAAAGAGAGTTTAACTTTTAAAAAGACAAGAGACATTTTAAAGAGATAGAGCAGCAAATTTAACAACAGAATTCGTAATTGTATCCTAACAGAATCMAACAGATTCGTTTACTGGATTAAAATAGCGGTGATTCACAAATTGTTTTCCCTTGTGTYCTCGCACAGTCAGGGTTCTTGAAAATACAATTTTTTTAAAGCCCATTAATTCAAAAAAACATCCACTTATTCCAGAATTTTCTCTTCAAAGTTAATTAGCTCTATGAACTGTACAGAGTTTCCAGATCTTTCACGCTGTAAGTCGATACAGATTTCTTTTTAGGCAAACAAAATCATTGCTTACCGATGGCAAGAGAGAGTTTTCTGATTTAGGTGTTCATTGGGCATCAGCTTAAGCAAGGCCTAGTTCACTCATAGAAATCTCCATCTATGAGAGAAGCCAGGACTCAAGCTGTTGACCAATTAAGTCAAATAAATCACAATTCCAACGCACTCACCATATTGTAAATTGACTTGAGCGATCTTTGAAAAGGCATTTTCTTCTAAGCTTTGAGCAGGAATCCACAGTAACAGAATTACAATACAGAACATAGTCACCCAACAAACTTTCATGATGCGAGTGAAAGCCTCGACGCGGGCTGCTCGACCTTATACTTCTCCAAATAGCAACTAACTTCCGTTCTTTTGTTTGGTAAAGTGCTGGATGAATACTAAACAATGTCTAGAGTATTCCAATGAAGCGAAATAACAATATAACTTCTCTATTCGTTTGCAATACAGTCTGATGTCATTGGAGTTGCTGTTGAATCAATCACTAAGGCGTTCGTGCGTAATTCATAAGTTACCAACAAACTTCCATGACCTCAGAGTTCAAGGACTTTAGAGAGAAAACAAGTAGAGATAACATTTCTTGCAAATCGCCCAGAAGGAATACTTTAGATATGCTCTTGCCTCACGAAATATAGAAATGTCAATTTAATACACACAGCGAAAAGGTTCTGCATATATCTTTAGCTTGCGTAATCAAGATCTACTTAAGACCATTCTCGAAACATTTCACATTTTTTCTTATAAATAACGGTACAGATTCATATTGAAGTTTAAACAATGCTTAAGGCCAGTTAKTTTTTTTGTCAATTTAAGTAATTACGAGAAGATTGAAAAGTCTTTTAAAGATGAGTTGTTTAGTAGAAGTTTCAGTGRCTTGAKATGTCACCAAGTAACGATAGTATAAATACCTGCACGGAGTGGTAATAATGCAGGATATGACTGCATGTCGGACTATTTCCTTTGTTTAATTTATTGAAGGATTTTCATTGGATATAGAGTTCAAAAGATGAAAAAAAACTGCGAATTTACATGTGTTATAAACGCATTACGATAGCGACTTATGATAAACTTGTAGTTTGACTGTACTAAGTCATTTTGTTTTGTCTATATGTTTATCTATTGCAAACTTCATCATTGATGTAAACTTTTCTTTTCTGCTTTTGGTGTCAGTATGAGAAGTTGACCTGCAAAGTGGGAGATGGTTTTSCATTAATTTGACTTGGTCAARTATRAATTTCACGGACTACCGAGCCGGGGATGKATTATAACACACGAAGAAAATTAGTCATCACAAMKGTGGGAATATWYAGCTAAAATCCGGTRGGGTGGGAAACAAGGTACAGAATACACTCCCCTCMACTCCCCCTCCTTCCGTCCATCTTCCGGCCCATCTTTTTCCGTTTCGAGGACAATTTAAAAACCATTTTATTTGTATTATTCTGATAAAAATACCATTTCAAAAAATTATTAATATAACTGATAATTCTGGTCGTGATACTAGAACAATTGCATTATCGATGGGTATGGTACGCAGTGACCGGATCCTGCAYTAGACGACYCTCTTTTCCGGGGGGRARGGRG